TTTAAGGATATTGGAGTGGGGGAGGGTATGAGAACCCAAGGGCAGACAGCAGAGGCCTGACACCTGGGGTCTTAGAGCCATCAGTACTCTTGTGTCTCATCTCTGCTTCTCTGGTCCAAAATGTACAGTCTCCCTCCCCTCCAGCTTTACTGGTACAAATAGTTCTTAACCACATGGAGAGATTATCTCAATTCTGAATTCCCAGAGGAGATACTCTGGCCTAGCTTGCGTCTACCACTGGCCAATAAACTCCAGCCAACAGGAATAGTGTCTTATAAAGGTGGGTGAGGGTGTGTCATCCTCAATGCTAATACAGTGCCTAAAATCCTAAACTAGATAGGAGCAAACACCCAAAAGGTGTGTTTCAAAGGGACATGTTCCTGTTCATTCCTGGAATTCTGACGCTTGTCTCTTGCTCCCTCTCCCAAGCAGTTATCTCCTTTTGGACACTTACCTATGCCATAGTGTGACTCTGTGTCTCAAGCTTCCGATCCCACTTGTCTTTCTTATGAGGAATACCAGGGTTCAGCTCAAATTCCTGGTATCTAATCACTTGGAAGTGATTAGACTTTAGCAAATCCATGTCCCCAAATAATGCTTTTAAGTCTTCTCCTGCTCTTTAAGCATACCCAACATATGCTAAGCTACTGTCATTTTTCAGTTACCACTGATCAGTAATACTGGAAGTGAATTGGGACAAGGAATGCTTGAAGAGTGGTGTGGAAGAAGACAGGGGCCGCTGAAGACAAAGTTATTCTACTTTCAGATTGACCTAGGGCTGGCTCAAAGGACTTTGCATTTATCCGATTTAACCAATGAGCATATGTTGAGTGTCTTTGTGCCAGGCTAGATGTACTCATAATTACTGGATGAACACAGATAAGTTATTTCTATATAATACTAAAAAAGAGAAGTGCTAAAGCAGCCAGAAAGTGGCCACTTAAACTAAGGATTTAGGGAAGTCTCTGGATGGTGCAATTGGTTAACACGCTCAGCTGCTAACCGGAAGGATGGAAGTTCAAGTTCATCCAGAGGTGCCTCAGAAGAAAGGCCTGATAATCTAATTATGAAAAATCAGCTATTAAAAACCTTGTAAAGCACAGATCTACTCTGACACTGATGGGGTCACCATGAGTAGGAATCAGCTGGATGACAACTGTTGTTGTTTTTTCTGGTTTAAGGGTTGCTAGGTGCAGAGGTATGCTATATCTTTTTCACAATCTCCCTAGCTGCTAATGGACATAATAGCTATGAGTGGACATAAAGTACGTGCTTTGGGGGAGATGATTGCCCACTAAGAACTCTAAGTGGGCTAAAGGAGGAGGGCTGTTCTCTGACGGCAGTACATCTAGCCCACTCTGAACAGGGGCAATAAATGATGTCCATTGCTTACAGGGGACCTTCTACTTTTATTACCCCCCTTTTAACTTTTATTGCCTCTTCTACCTACTCTCTGTATATGCTATCTGTCCTGTTAGCATTTAATCCCGGGAAAGAGAAAGGTGTTCTCCTCCCAAGACATGAACTGGGGCATGCTTGGATGTGATCTAACTCTGTCGACAGGAGCCTAACTTCAGAGAACTTAGGCTGATGATGATGCATCCTGTTCTGTTCATCCCTGTCCTGTTTATTCTGTAATTACACCATTAGAAGTGTCTGGTCTGTGCTCTGCTCCAAATACTCCTTCACTAAGAGCTTGTGAATATAGTGACATTGCAAGTGTTTAGGGAATGCTTCCTACAGAAGAGAAGGTCTAAACTGAGCCTTTAGAAATATCTAGCCAAGCAAAGAAAGTTGGAAAGTGCGTTCCAGGCAGAAAAAGAATAACATGATCAAAGGTATAGATTGTTTAGGTCATGAATTTGGACAGAGCCAGTGGAGACAGCTTGTCCCTGCTCCACAGTGTCTAACGCCTGAGCTTGGAATCCTCAAATGGCTGTGGGTGACTGAAGTCACTGGGAGCTGGAATCAGCTGGAGTCTTCTTCACTCACATGTCTGATACCTGGACTAGGATGATTCAAAAACTGGGCTTGGCTGGGGTTGTCAACTAGAGTGCCCAGCATGGTGGTAATTGGAAGTATGTGTCCACCAGCAAGTAAAGCCAATGATGGCAGAGAATGTATCATATTTATTTCACCCCCAGCACCTAGCATAGTGCTTGGCACGTGACAGACGTTCAAGAAAAACGTGTCGAATGAGTGAATGAATGGAGAAGGGTAAAAAGGTGGTTCATATCTAAGGACTTCAGTTTTCTCAGAGATGAAGGAGGCCAGATATTCCTCTGAGAGGAGGTGGATATTGAGAAGACACTTGAGGAGGTAAGTGAAAGTTTGAGAAACTCACTGAGGGAGATGGACAAGTTAAAGGGCAGTATCATCACCTACACAAGCACAGAACTTTCTGGCGCAGAGCCTTCCCCCTGGGGAACAGAGATGGCAGTATTGTGATGACCCAGGATCAGGTTTTACTTAGAATGTAGGCATAGGTTTAGGGTCGTAAAGGAATTTCAAACACTGAAAAAGGAGTCATTCAGGTGAGCAACCACAGGGACCAGCTTGCTAGGGAAGTAAGTGAGAAAGCTGTTGGGAAGTGAGGGAAACAGGGACTGAGCAAAGGTCAGGCCTGAAGGTAGAGATGACTGAAGTGGGTGGAGAGCTGGAAGACTAGAAGATCGTAGTCAGAAGGTGCAGTGTTGGAATTTAAGATTTCTCAAGTCTATTAATTTCAGGTGATAAATTCCAGGGTGAAGCCCGGGTGTGGGTGGCTGAAGTGCAAGTTCTAATAAAGCTCAACTGGGTGTAGCTCTTTATTTGTAGTTCTTTGTACACTTACCCTGAAGCTGTCAGAGAAAGACTCTGGACTGGAGTGTGGGTGTGAGTGTTTTCTGTGAGCAACTGTGTCTTTATTCCCAACAGGGATTTTTCTTTTGCAGTAATCAAATATCTAGACACTGGCTTACTACCAAAGTGCTGCTTTGTTAAAATAGTGCCCATATTTCTTTGTGATTCCTTTTGCTTGCTACTCAGAGTTCCTTAATACTGGTGGTAATGAATTGGCTGCAAGGAGCCATTTTTCTGTGTTGAAGAAGCTTAATTAGATTAGGGATATCCATGTGCTAAGATGAAAGAACATTTATAAAGCAGAATATGCATACAGAGTATTAAAGTCCCAATCACAGTAATCACAAACACTTCTGTTGCATTTCCAATATGCCAGGTGCTGTTGTAGGGATTTATATATATGAACTCAGCTAATTCTCCCAACCAAAACCAAAACCAAAACCAAACCCACTGCCATCGAGCTGATTCGACTCCAACTCATAGCAGCCCTGTAGGACGGAGTAGAACTGCCCCATAGGGTTTCCAAGGGTGTAAATCTTTAGGGAAGCAGACTGCCAAGTCTTTCTCCCACAGAGCAGCTGATGGGTTTGGACTGTTTACTTTTCGATTAGCAGCCAAGCACTTAACAACTGCACCACCAAACCCAAAACACCCACTGCCATCTAGTTGATTCCTATTCATAGTGACCCCCTAGGCTTTCCAAGGCTGTAAATCTCTGCGGAAGCAGACTGCCACATCTTTCTCCTGCAGAGCTGGTTTCGAACATCCGACCTTTCAGTTAGCAGTTGATCACTTTGACCACTGTGCCACCAGGGCTTCTTCACTACACCACGGTTCCCTAATTCTCCCAACAGCCCCTTGAAATAGGTACAGGCAGTCCCAGATTATGAATGAGTTCCATTCCCAAATCTGTCTTCAAGTATAGGTAAGTTGGAACAGTTAGGTATGGTTTGTATCTAATGTCAGTTAATCAAATGTTTGTCTTAGTATATAGTATACAGTGTACCTTTCTATGCACAGAAAATGTTAAAGAAACACTTTCAGATACACTAAAACATCTTTAACTTAATAATACAGTAATAATAATAATGTTTTGATGTGTGTCACAAAGTAAAGCCCGTTTATTATTACAAACCATGTACCTCAAATTTTCAATATAATAGGCTTGACAGGGGTTGGTTCATAACTATAAGGGTTGTATGTAAGTCGGCCACTCATAACCCAGGGACTGCCTGTGCAATTATTAACTTCATTTTACAGATGAAGAAACTGAGGCCCAGAGAAGCTAAATAACTTTCTTAGAGGTCACATAGCTAGCAAATGGCAGAACCAGGATTTGACCCCAGACAGATAGCGAGAATACTGCAATGAAGCAGTTAACCCCTTTATCTTTTGATGAGGAAAGAGAGGCTAATCAGTAACTTGCCCAAGGCAGGGGCTAATAGTGGAGCTGGGTGTCCCACCCATGGCTATCTGAGCTGTTAACCTCCAAGTCATGGGGTTCATTTGTCCAGATGATGACCTTCAGTTGTGAAAATGATCTCTGGCCTCTGCAGTCTTCCTTTGTAGAAGGACCTTACCAGTGACAGGGAGTAGTTGCCCAATGCTTGTTTGTGGAATAAACAAATAAATGAAGATTGCTACACTCCGTGGTGTCACAGTTGGCCAGCAGGGTGCATTTTACCATTGAGTAATTCCAGATAAAGACAGGAACACGGTGTTAATATAAGCTGCCCGTAATGCAGGAGAACAGAGGCAGAAACCTGGGGTGAGGAAGAAGTCCGGGACCCTGACGAGAGGGGGCCAGTAGAGGGTGCCACGCAGGAGCTGGAACTCCTAGCAACTCAGAGACCCCAGCCCTTTCTGCCAGCAGGGGCTGGATGGCAGGTGGACAGGCCACTCATCTGCATGCATCCCCCTCTCCTGCACGTAGGTAGGCCGCAAAAACAACCCAAAGGGGCCCTCTATACATATTTGTCCAACACGTGAATGAGTGAATGCGAGGGAGGGGGCATGTTTTGAAAGTCCATATTTGCCATCCACACCCTGGCAGTCACTCCTGGATAGAACTCTCCCTTCCCATTGACTGTCACCGGCAGAAGGGCAGGCACAGCGCAGCCTGGTTAAGGTGGCCTAATTGTGGCCGCGGCGAAGGGGCCATGCCCAGATACACGGTACATGTGCGCGGGGAATGGCTGGCCGTGCCCTGCCGGGATGCTCAGCTCACTGTGGGCTGGCTGGGCCGGGAGGCAGTGCGGCGCTACATCAAGAACAAGCCTGACAACGGTGGCTTTGCCTCGGTGGACGCCGTGAGCTTCCTTGTGCGCCGATGCAAGGGCCTGGGCCTGCTAGACCATGAGGACACCCTGGAGGTGGCCCTGGAGGATAATGAGTTCGTGGAAGTGGGTAAGTGGTCAGAGGGAAGAAGTAAACTGATGCCTCCTGGTCTTACTTGGTCCTCAAGTCCCTAGGAGGGAGGTTCTATTGTTCTCCCCTTCTCGGCCTTGAAAGAACCTCACCAGACTAGAGACCAGGAGCCAGAGACATAAGAGGTTAAGATTTAAAACAAAGTGAAGCTGGGAGTGGGGAGGGGGTCTATATATTTTGAACTTCATTTAAACTCGTGTCTCCACCCTGCCACTTGGATGTCTGCCTGTTGCTCTCTTCCTATGTAAAGATGCTAAGACCACTTTCAAACACCTAATCTCCGTTTTCAAGCAGCCAAAAACCTGGTGCAATTGAACAGCCCTTTCTTGGTTTAACAAAACCAAAAATCCCAACTCATTGCCATCCAGTCGATTCTGACTCCCAGCCACCCTATAGGACAGAGCAGAACTGCCCATAGGGTTTCCAAGGAGCGGCTGGTGGATTCAAACTGCTGACCTTTTGGTTAGCAGCCAAGCTCTTAACGATTGCTACCTCAGGGCTCCTTCTCCGTTTATAGCAACACCACATGTGGCCTCATGTTGTGATCTGTAACAAGAGTCTCTCTTGCATTGTTTCAGTCATAGAAGGGGATGCAATGTCTCCAGACTTTATTCCATCCCAACCAGAGGGAGTTTACCTGTATCCTTTCCTGTGGCTCTTTGGTCTGCTCTGTGGGTTACCCCTGCCAGATGATGGGGCTGGGGCTTTTCCATATTATTTTCCTTTACCTGGGCTTCAGATACAGCAAATACCGGGAACCTGAAAAGGTAAGCTTCAAACCACTTTCTTTTTGTTAAGAAAACTAAGTCAGGTCTTTGCAGCCCTCACTTAAGGAGAGAGAGGGCCAGCAAAATTGATGAGTAAAGACCATGAATTGGGATAGGGTTTGGTCCAGCTTCAATTTGGAGGGAAAGAGAGCTGGCAAAGGCATTGTGCTTTTGAGTTTCTAACTTTTCTTACCCAGCCTCCTCTTAAGCAAGTTGCCTTTTTAATTAGCACACTAATGTTTCACCAACCAAAAAAAAGACCCAAACCCACTGCCATCTGGTTAATTCCAACTTTTGGCAACTCCAGTGATGAAATCTCTGAAGTGTCAAAGTTTAGTTCTGTTTGGGGTTTTCCTATGTTTGTGCCAGAGTAACTAAGCTTTTCAAATTCACTGAAATTCCCTTCTTTTGTGCAGTGCATTGACTTAGATGGGGACAGTCTGACCACAGAGGATCTGGTCAACTTGGGAAAGGGCCACTACAAAATAAAGGTATAGGGGAGGGAGCAGAGGGATGTCATCTTTGGCCATTTTCGCCACACATAGAAGCCTTTAACGTGCTCAACTCTGAACAACATTTTTCTAGCTCACCCCAAGTGCTGAAAAGAAGGTACAGAAATCCAGGGAAGTCATAGACAGCATCATAAAAGAAAAAACTGGTATCTTTTTCTCTTTGTGTAATAAAATTCTCTGTACGGGTTTAAAAAAAAATTGCTTGTGTCTAATTTTGTAATGTCTGCTTTTTTTTTTTCCTAGTTGTTTACGGTATTACTACAGGTTTTGGGAAATTTGCCAGAACTATAATTCCTATCAATAAGCTAGAGTAAGTTTGATTTCACTCCTTCCCACCCTGTCTTTGAGGTTTCTTTTAACAAGGGAAATGATTAACATTTGAATTTCGGTTAAGGTGTATCTCAATCAATCTTCACAGCTCTGAAATTAGGGGTCATCCCAATTTTCAGGTGAGGAGGATCAGGTTTGAGTTAACTTGCACACAAGTTGGTATTGAAAACACACACTTGATAGCTTCTTCCACTGCATCACACTGCCTCTTTCTATCCTTCCGAACTATTCTTCCCTCATTGCCCCAGCTAAGTGAACATTTTCACTACAAGATATCTAACAGGATTTTTTCCTTTCTCTTCCAGGGAGCTCCAGGTAAACTTAGTACGCTCACATTCTTCAGGTAATCCATTCAAATTGTTGGGGTGCCTTCTGATGACAGAAGCTAACCTAGATCTTGTTTGATTAGATGAATAAACTGCAACACAGTGTGATTCATCCTATAAAAGCCCCAAGGAGGGTCTAGTGCATTCCAAGGACTAGCTGCCAAATTCTGCTGCAAGGGTGGAAGGGAAGCAGAAAGCATCATACAAGACCACCTTTCAGCTGAATCTCAGACGAAGGAATGGACCAGGTGGAGGGATGGGGTTGAGATAGGAGCACATGTAACATCATGCTGAGAGAATGGTGCATTCAGGGAACTAAATTCATGGCTGGAATGTGGGGAATGAGCTGCAGGTTGGAGAGCAAGATGAAATGAGAAAGCCTGTCAAAAATCAGTTCCCATCAAATTGTGAAAGAGCTTGTGCTGAGTAGTCTCGACATTTGGGATGGTGGGGCCCCACTAAAATGTTCCATGAAGGGGAATTGAGAAGGTGAAACTGGGGCTTTACATCTGTCTGGAAGATGGGGCCTTGAGAAGTGAGACAGGCAGGAGGGAGAACCACCTGGGTCAAGAGGAGAAAGGTGCTAGGAAACTGAACTAAAGTGGAGAACAATTTGAGAGATCAAGATAGCCTTGAGGTGGAAAGGGGTTTGGCTTTCTTGGAGAAAACATCAGTTCTGTTTTATAGGTGTTGGGAAACCACTAATCCCTGAGAGATGTCGGATGCTCCTGGCTTTAAGGATAAATGTCTTAGCCAAAGGTTACAGTGGCATTTCCTTGGAGACCCTCAAACAAGTTATCGAAGTATTTAATGGTAATGCAATGGACCCCTGGGTGGACCGTCCACTGAGGCTGGGCATGTACCACAGGGTAGAATCAATTGATGGGTTGGTGAGGAATTGGATGAGAAAAAAGATAGAAACTAATTGAGATGAATGGAAAATGACCTTGGCAAGAAGAATAGCTAGAGATGGGAGTGGGTAAATGGGACAGGGATGCTTACTCCCATGTACTTTAATCCATTCTACATCACCCTTCACTTAGTATTTGGCGTCTTTAAGATCAGAGCAAGCTCCTTAGTCTGGCCTTAAGTTCAAGCTGAAGAGACCCCTTTATCCAGTGGTACCCAAACGTGGTTAGTGAAGCATCAAATCATCTGGGAAGCGTAATGATTTCTGGACGTCCATCGCAGAGACACTCAGTAGTTCTGGTTGGTGCCTGGGAACCTGAAATCTTAATGCTCCCCAGACTTGAAAAATTGAAATCCAGCTTCTTGCATAAGGTAGAACAGAAATGCAAAGAGGTTAATGACTTGTTTATGATCACAAAGCTAGATAATGGCAGATATGCAGCTCAACTCTTTAGAGCTTACTTCTTGAGATAGGGAAATTCAAAGATTTGAAATGCTTGGAGACCACTGTCCCTTCTTACCAACCCAGATACATTTTCTAGGTCAGCAAAGGCTCCAAGGCTCTTTGTGAGAAAGGAGTGGGAGGAGAAAGGGCTGGGTAGTCACACAGAGCAATCACCCCACGCTGTGGATACAAGTGGCCCATAAATATATGCCAGTTGGTGATTATCAATTTGAATGAACAATTTTTAGTATATAGGGCCATGCTAAGCAGACTTGTAGTGATTCTAACACCCATTTTTACTCTCACCCTGGTCTGCCTTACTTATGAACCTAAAATCTCAGATAATACAACTTTGGCCTTGAACCCAATCTGTGCTTCATGGATGAGTCTAAGGCACCTAGGCACCTAGGACTCTGAGAATTCCCCAAGGTGAGCTGCTATCTGGAAATTGACCTGTGGATGGCACTGCTTTATCCTACGGACATTATTTAGCAGTTGGAAGAAATACTGATACCAGGAGTCTCATTAGACTTTAGAACAATGAAGCCTCCTTCTGGTAACTTATTGGAACTTTATTACAAAATAGTACATGCTCATTTACAAGTGGTAGATGGCAGATTAGGTGATTTGGAAGCTGGCAAAAAAGAAGAGACTAAGTTACCTATGACTTTATCTCCCCAGAGAACCTCTGTTAACAATTTGGTGTACATATCCTTCTAGAACAGTTTATATAATTTTCCTAAAATATTACCTTTTGCTTTGTAGTATAAACATGTCTCCAAACATTCTTCAACAGCTTTGAATGACTATGTACTGTTTAGTCATATGAATGTACCTTAATTTCATATTTAGATAATTTCAAATTTTTTGTTCTTATAAACAAGGCTGTAATGAACAACAGGTAGTTATTGATCAAGCCTTTAAGACACATTGCTAAAATTTCTAGAAATTGAAGTATTAGGTCAAATTAGAACATGTACATTTTGAAAGCTTTGCTACTGGGAGGGTTCGCCTTCCCTCCCTTTCTCTCCTCTTCCTTACCTCCCTTTTCCTTCCTCCTTCCCTCCCTCCCTTCCTCCCTCCTTCCCTCTTCCCTCTTCCATCCTTCCTTCCTCAGTTCCTTCCTTCTTTCCTTTCTCCCTCCCTCCTTCCTTTCCTTCCTTCCTCCCTTTCTCTCTCTCTCTTTCTCTCTTTCTACAGCAGCTCAGCCAGGTCCCTTAAGCATTACTGTGCTTGAGAAATTATCTCTCTCCAGGTCTTTATGCCATAAAGTGATACTAGATGGAGTTTTGGGTGGGGGGGGTTCACTGGCCAAACAAGAAGAGCCAGAATGAAGTACTCGTGAAGTAACTCGTGCCTACTGCTCTCCTAGCTTCCTGCCTGCCCTATGTTCCAGAGAAAGGAACAGTTGGCGCCAGTGGAGACCTTGCCCCACTCTCTCATCTTGCTCTCGGGCTAATTGGAGAAGGGAAGATGTGGTCTCCAAAGAGTGGCTGGGCTGATGCTAAATATGTAAGTCTTTAATAACAGCTTCCGTCTATTATTGAAGTAATTTCCTAGATTAATTTCCCTAGGCTGGTCCCTGGGTATACTTAATCACTTAATCCTTATTAAACAAAGAAAAAAACAAAAACAAAACCTAAACCCACTACTATTGAGTCAACTGTTTAGGACAGGGTAGAACTGGCCCAAAGGATTCCCAAAGTTGTAAATCTTTACGAAAGCAGACTGTTCCATCTTTTTTTTCCTGAGGAGTGGCTAGTGGGTTTGAACTAACGACCTTTAGGTTAGCAGCTGAGCACTTAACCACTGTGCCACCAGGGCTGTTTTGATCCTTATTACTTATCACTTTACCCTTACAACAGCGCAATGACGGAGGCACCGTTGTTGTGTGCTGCCAAGTCAATTCCGACTCATAGCGACCCTGTGAGGGAGGGACTAATATCCCTATTTTATAGATGAGACAACTGAAGCTTAGAAGTCAAATTAGGCAAGAATATGAGCTTCTATACCAGACTTTCTGTGCTTGGTGATGACCTTGGTGAGAAAGTGCAGCTGATAGTGTTCAATGAGGCGTTGGTGGCTCACCGGTAGAACTCTTACCTCCAGGCAGGAGACCAGGTTCAACTCCCAGCCAATATCCCTCATGCCCAACACTACCCATGTGTCAGTGGAGGCTTGTGTGTTGCTATGATTCTGTACAGGTTTCAGAGGAACTTTCAGACAAAGATGGACTAGGAAGAAAAGCCTGCTGATCTACTTCTGAAAATCAGCCAGTGAAAACCCTATGGATCAAAATAGTCAGATCCACAAGTGCTTATGGGGGTGGTGCAGGACCAGGCAGCATTTCATTCCATTGCATACGGCATCACCATGAGTCAGGGGCCAACTCAATGGCAGCTAACAATAACAGCTAGTGCTAATCCTGGAGATTTACTCTGTACCTAAAATACATCCAGTGCCCATCAATGGTGTCACACAGCAATGTAAGTTTATTTAGAAGCTGGTCTCACCGAGGCAGAGCTGTGGATCATAGCATTACTGTGTGGTCTCTGAAAAGCAGGTCCCATTTTCCCTGGTGACACAGTGGTTAAAGCTATCAACTGCTAACTGAATGGTCAGCAGTTTGAAACCACCAGCCCCTTCACAGGAGAAAGATGTGGCAGTCTGCTTCTGTAGAGGTTTACAGCCTTAGAAACCCTATGAGGTCTCTATGAGTCAGAATCCACTCGACTCTTATATCATCTTACCATTTTCCACTGTACTCTATCCACTCCCTGCTTCCTCGGGCACTTAACATACTATAACTACAGTTGCCCCTTGGTTAGTCTGTCTCTGTTTTTCTTAACCCCAGTCCCAGCCTCAAGTTATGAGTCAGAGACTGCTCCTCTCTTCGCTCTAACACCCAAAACAGAATCTGGTATGTAATACGTGTTCAAACATACCTGTCAATGGAATAATAAGTGGTTCTGATGCTGTTTTCTTCTTTAACTCCCCCTTCATTCTTCCATATTGTTGTTATTAGTAGTTGCTGTCAAGTAGATTTCGACTCATAGAGACCCCATGTATTACAGAGTAGAACTGCTAGGGTTTTCTTGGCTGTAATCTTCATGGAATCAGATCGCCAGGCCTTTCTTCCACAGCACCAATGAATGGGTTCAAACCACCAACCTTTAGGTTAGCAGTCAAGTGCAAACCATTTGCATCACCCAGTGACATTTCCTTCCTCCACAGAGGGACCTTAACTTAGTGGCTGTTTTTACTTATTTTATTTCAGGGAAAGGTTAGTTGCCATTTCTGCTCAGGATTCTTTTTCTATTAGGCCCGTAACGTGCTCTTCATTAGATGTCACGCATTTGCCACACAAGCAAGGAGCCCTGCTCTGAGGGCTGCCAGTGTTTGTTGTTGTTAGTTGCTGTCAAGTCAGCTGTAACTCATGGCAACCCCATGTGTAACAGACAAAACATTGCCCAGTCCTACACCATCTTCACGATTATTGGCAAGTTTGAGTCTATTGCTGCAGCTACTGTGTATTCTGAGTGCCTTCCAACCTAGGGGGTGCATCTTCTATATTGGACTATATTGGACAGTATTCTATTGTGCTCCATAGAGTTTTCATTGGCTAATTTTTGGAAGAAGATCACCAGGCCTTTCTTCCTAGTCTGTCTTAGTCTGGAAGCTCTATTGAAACCTGTCTACCATGGGTGACCCTGCTAGTATTTGACCTTCCAGCATCATAGCAACACGCAAGCCACCACAGTACGACAAACTGACAGACAGGTAGTGGTGCCAGTGTTTAGATAATTAGAAATGACGGTAGAGGGCATTTTAGGTCAAGCTCTGGAGGCAGGAGAGTGGGCAGGTGGGAGGAGCCCAGCCTTGTTTCAGGAAAGGGGTGTGTATGTGTCAGGAAGGAGCAGCAAAAAAGATACATCCGCTAAGGTGGAAACTGAATACAAAGGACCTGTTGTTGCTGCATGCTGTCAAGTCAATTTCGACTCATAGCGACCCTATAGGACAAAGTAGAACTGCCCCATAGGCTTTCCTGTGGCTATTATCTTTATGGGAGCAGATCACCAGGTCTTATCTCCCACAGAGCTGCAGGTGGGTTTGAACCTCTGACCTTTTGGTTAGCAGCTGAGCACTTAACCATTGCACCACTGGGGCTCCTACAAAGGACCTATAAACCAAAATTTAGGGTTGTTCTGTAGACAATAGAGCCCCTGATTTTTTTTAGTACAAAATTTATTTGAAAGATAAGTCTGCTTTCAGGCTGAAAAACAGAATTAGAGAATAGACAAGAGGCCACGAACAGAGCCAATTCGTGTACATCTAATCCTTTATAAGACTGCCCTTCGGGCTTAAACCTTTATTGGGTTCCATATGAAATTAGAACTAGGCTGATATTTCACTTGATAAACATTTTTATCTTTTTAATCTTTGTACAGGTACTGAAAGCCCATGGATTGAAACCAATTGTTTTGAAACCAAAAGAGGTAAGGAAATTAAAGGAAAATTTATTTCTATTAGCACTTCTTTATATTTGTACTATTTTCATTCTTAATAACAGATCAATGATCCCTTAAAACAAATGTAGCTTAATGCTTGTTGGAAGTTGGTCATTGAAGAAAGAGGCTCCTTAAACAAATAATTTCTTTTATAAGGATCAGCACAAAGCTGGTTCCTGTGAGACAGAGGTCAAAGATGTTCCAAATGTCCAACTTTTCCAAGCTGCTGTAGCACTACATCATCTCTAACGTCAGCTACTCCCTCTCCCCTCCATACTCTCCTCCTTCTTTGGGTTCCTTAATTTGTTGCAACATCCCACAGAACTCACCAACCATATAAAGGAAATGGCTCGCATGGTTGTGGAGGCTGGCAAGTCCCAAATTCATGGGTCAGGCATAGTCTTCTCCCTGGCCCTCAGTCTGTGCCCAAAGGCAGTCAACTTTCTTACTCTGTGAGCCAGGAAGCCTACTGCGCCAAATCCTGTGAGTTTCTGCTGCAGGCCTCTGCTGCCAGCCTCTCCCTCCGTGGAGGTAGTGGGCTCTTCTCTCTGCTCTGGAATTGGCTCTCTTTTAAGGCAAGACTGACCCATCCCCTTGGTGGGCCACAGGTATCTTATTTGCATAGCTCCACCCAATCACCTGGGTGGGAGTTACAAGACCATGGCGAGAAAGCCCTTAATAAGTAATTCATCACACCGCACTCCTCAATAAACATTTAAAAATTCTTCATGCCACAAATGCTTAAGGGAGTCTCGTACAACTTCAAATTGGAATCTGGGATGCTCTAGCTAACAGGGCTGGACCAGAATTGTCTTAGGGTGTCTTGTCTACAATGGTGACAAGTCAAAGAAGAAATGTAGCATGATTAAGAACTAGAGATTTTATGTGTAGTCTACACTCTGAAGCTACCATTCCCGCCTTAAGAATGGGAATAAAAACCAGTTGCTGTCAAGTTTACGCCAACTCATGGCAACCTCATGTGTGTCATGGTAAAACTGTGCACCATGGGGTTTTCAAGGCTGAGTTTTCAGAAACAGATCACCAGGGCTTTCTTCTGAATCACCTCTTGGTGGATTCAAACTGCCAGCCTTTTGGTTAGCAGCTGAGCACGTTAACCATTAGCACCACCCGGGGATGCCTAAGAATGGGGATAAGTAACAGGTAACCCATTTGCCAGATTTGTGCTAATGCTTTCACATGGGATAGCACTTAATCTCAAGTGTTTAAATAAACATTACTGTCCTGCGTGTTAGAAAACATAAATAAACACAGTTCAGCTGGTTTATTTTTGGGCTGGTTTTTCTCTTATGAAAGCAAATGACACGAAATCAACTTGTGTGTTGGTTAGTTACAATAAACACTGTAGGAAACAATTCTCTCCCTCCGGATAGGGTCTGGCGCTAATCAACGGGACACAGATGGTCACCTCGCTGGGCTGTGAAGCTGTGGAGAGAGCTAGCGCGGTGGCGCGGCAGGCTGACATCGTGGCGGCCCTGACTTTGGAGGTGCTCAAGGGCACCACCAAAGCCTTCGATACTGGTCAGCATGGTTCTTCCCTTTGGTTGCTACTCATTCAACCAGAAGCTGGTGGGGTGCTATGGTCCAGGTCTTTAGATACGGGAGTGGTAGGGTGGGTGGTAGGGAAGAAGAGGAGAAAACCCAAGTGCTGGTGGCATGCCTACCATAGCTACAACTTCATCTAAGTTACGCCACCCTTAATCCTTGAAATGGCCATGTTTTACGGACAGAAGCTGACCCTGAGAGTTAAATGGCGTGCCCCAGCACCCAAACCCAACGCCCATCAAACTATGTGTTGTCTTAGGAATCTGTTCATGGGATTTTAGAACTAGAGTAGGATTAGGGTTGGTCCCCATTAGAAAGTTGGGAGAGAAAAACTATAGAAATGGTACCTTATCTAGAGTGCAGTGAGTTTGAAAGATTCCCTGTTATTTATTATAAGAAGTAGGACAGAAAAATTACTTAGTTAAATTAGGTCACCATAGAGCCCTCTCCCATTCTCTGCCTAAATCTCGTAAGGGTAGACACATTGTCTTGAGTTGAATTCCCAGTGAGTTCAACACATAGTTTGCACTCATACAAGTAAAGGAGAAAGAATAAAACAGTAAGGAGAGGCTTGCTTTTGGAGTTAAGTTTCTAAATTTGAGCAGTAGTTAAGGAGGCCTGGGCCTTTTGAGCATTGTGTCAGCACCTAGGATAGTCCTGAATCATCACTGGTAGTTTATTCCAAATATAAGGAATACTCAGACTTTTTCTCTGTCATCAATTCTAGACATTCATGCTGTTCGCCCTCATCGTGGGCAAATTGATGTTGCTTTTCGGTTTCGGTCCCTCTTGGACTCTGATCATCACCCATCGGAAATAGCAGGTCTGGACTGTTTATGTGGGTGAGCACGTTTGGTTACATGTTTAGTGAAAGAATTAGTAACATGTCCCTGTCTTATCTCTTCTACCTCTTCCACAGAAAGTCACAGGTTTTGTGATCGTGTTCAAGATGCATATACCTTGCGCTGCTGTCCACAGGTAACAAAAACCAACAAACTTTCCCAAATACAGTGGAGGGAGGAATAGAAAAAGAGGAAGGTGTTAGAGAATCTAACAAAAAGAAATCCAAGTTTCTTTACTGCTTCCATTAAAAAATTATGTATACCATACCTCCATTTACAATTCTATGAAGTTTCTATTCTTTATGGCAAGCTGTTTATTTTCTCTGGAATGCTTTGCTCAACCCCCTCATCAGAGGAATCCAATAGCCAACTTATTGTGTTGGTTTAGTGCCTTAGTTGTTTTAAACTCTTAGGAATAACATCATTTTAGCCAGTTAATGGAGTTTTACTGGTTTCCCTGTTAGACAGAACTTGAACCAGCCAGTCAGGAATGTTTACAGGAAAGTCTAATTGTATCATTTCCAAATTCAAGTACACATCCTTGATTGTACCTTATTTGCACTTGACAGTCAGACATAAATCATTATAAATGAATATGTAAGGCTTAACTTTAAACAAAAAATGCAGGTGGTCTGGCCTGGCATTAGGCATCCAATATTGGCAGATGTCACAATTCATTACCACATGGCCATGTGATCTGACACTGCCACAGTGCTGTCACTAGGGTGGTGTTGGGGTGTGGACTGCACCGGTGACACTGGGTCAGAGGAGGTGACACCAAAATGACTGTCTATGAAATTTTTGTGCAGTGTTTCAGTAGAAATTTATTATTTTTTATAAAAATATTCCTGTAGTTAGTTATAACAACAAAAACATTTTTCATAAGCCCAGCTTACATGCATCAATATACCTGCAAGGCTAAAATTCTATGCTAATTTATGTTTTGAACCTTCTAATGCGTTCCAATCAGAGCTGTCATTACTACCCAATTACAATGATGCTTAAAATCACGTGGTTTCGTCTGCAAACACGTGCTGTTGTTTTCATTGCTGCCAGTGTTTTTATAAGCGCTGATTTTGTCAAATTTTCTGGTGCTTTAGCCACAATATTGTGGTAATTAGTATTTGTGAACCTATGTCAATACCTTTTTTGAGAATGAAGTAGTAATGGAAGGAAAAGGAGAAAAATGAAAAAAGGCTTCTACTCAGTTACTGATAATATTGTAACTAATAATGTAATTCAACATAGAAAGATTTTACAAACAATTTTGTTAGTATTCATATAATCTAAGAAATATTACATTTAAGTAATTTACAACTATATTTATCACATTATTCTATGATAAAAATGGATAATAAACATTACTAAGGATTCTGTATGGTCAGGTACCGGAGGAGGTCCATGGAGGAGGGGGTGACACCATGAGTTACCACACTGGGTGGCACTAACTCTAGTGATGCCACTGCACTGGCAATTAGTTGGATGAGAAATTAATAAGGATCTTAAAAATGAAGCAATACTTGAGTTTCTGCCCAGTCCCAGTCTATAGGGTGATAGTGAGACCTCCCTAGCACAGAAGCTCTCATTTCCTTTTACTCAGCAAGTTCTATTCTAGCTAGCTTATTTAAAAAATAGATGAAAAACCTCTATGTGGAACAATTGCCAAATTAGCTCTACGGTAAGAATAAATCCTAGTTTTAAACATCCCTGATATTCTATGAAGGAGCCCTGGTGGCACAGTGGTTAAATGCTCAACTGCTGAAAGTCTGGCAATTCAAACACACCAGCTGCTCTGAGAGAGCTGTGGTAGTCTGCTTCCATAAAGATTTACAGCCTTAGAAACCCTATGGGGCAGTTCTACTCTGTTCTACGGGGTCACTATGAGTCGGAATCAACTCAATGGCCCAGGTTTTTCTGGATATTCTATGTGACAGGCAGCATTTTAAGTATCTTCCTGTGTTAACTCATTTAACGGTAACATGTTGTTATTGTTAGCTGCTGTCAAGTTGGCCCCAGCTCATGGCGACTCAATGTACAATGGCACGAAACACTGCCCAGTCACCTCCATGATTGGCTGGGGAGACAATGGTCTGTTGTGATCCATAGGATTTTCACTGGCTGATTTTTGGAAGTAGATCACCAGGCTTTTCTTCCTAGTCTGTCTTAGTCTGGAAGCATCATAGCAACATGCAAGCCTCCACTGGTAGACAGGTGGTGGCTGCATATGAGGTGGATTGGTCTCCCGCATGGGAGGTGAGAATCCTACCACTGAGCCACCAATGCTTCAACTATGAGATAGGTACTCTTATTCCCATTTTGCAGCTGGGGAACTGGGGCACAGAAGTTAAGTAACTTTCCCAAGGTCAAACACAGCTAGACTTTTACTTCCTTTACTTCTAGGAGAATCTAGAAGACAGGCACTGCTTTAGAGCATGTGTCTGTCTTGGGGATTGGTACGGAGTAGCTGACTTATTCATGAGTACCTTCCAACACAGCACCTTCATACTTCACAAACTTAACCTCCTTGGAGGAGAGCTTCCATCTGCGTGATTTCTATGTGTCATGTCTAAGAGTTCATTTGGATTATCTTATTTACTTGTCACAAGCTGTAAGGGAAGCACTATTGTCTGTTTTCTAAGTTTGTTTATGTTTCAACTAAAAATGTAAGTAACTTACCTAAGTCCTACTAATAACCAGGAATTGAATCTGCTAAAGTTGCCATTCTTTCTTCTACACCATGCTGTATTGTATAGATGGAAGTAATGTGGACTCATATTATAATGAATTAATTCTAATTTGTTTCCGTGAGCATCCAGGAGATTTATAACAAAATTATCTTCAAATCCCAGATATACAGACCATGATTTTCATGGTCATAACTACAAAGCACTTTCTGGGGAAGACTGAAGATGTTACCTTATAAGAATATTGGTACCTGAGAATACACTTAAGGGACTCAAATGGTCATATATCTTATTTTGGTTGTATTTTAGGTCCATGGTGTGGTGAATGACACAATAGCGTTTGTGAAGAATATCATCACCACAGAAATTAACAGTGCAACAGATAATCCTGTATCCTTTGATTGTTTACTAAATTGTAATTACAGGTAGTCTCTGACTTACGATGGGGTTACATTCTGACAACTCCATCAGAAATCTGTTCTCATGTAAGTTGAATACCTCTTTTTTTTTTTTAAGTTTTCATTATTATTGCCTTTTATTATCAGTATCTTTATAAATCTGATCTGTATCTGTCTTTGGGGATTGGCATGAGAGTGATAACATCAGCAAATTATGCACTGCAACACTGTACGTAGTACATATGACTAACAATAACATGTAGGAAAAAAACAAGGCCAGTCATAAGTGCAGTTTGTCATAACTCGAATATGTTATAAGTTGGGGACTACCTGTATAGAATTCCAGCTGGTAATTTTAATATTGGCTGGAGAAATCATTTTGTGTAGCATCTCATTTCAGTTACTCCATTTCATAGACCAAGTACCAGAGGCTCAGAGGTTAAGTGACTTTCTCCAGGTCAGAGTTGGTAAGTAGCAGAAGCAGGCCCGTCAACCTAATCTTTGGTTCTAACATGCTGAGCTTTCAAAACTGACCATTAAAGATTAATGGAACTAATGGACCACACCTACCAAGGCCTCCACCAGACTGAGTCCAGTACAGCTAGATGGTGCCCGGCTACCACCACTGCTCTGACAGGGATCACAACAGAGGGCTCTGGACAGAGCTGGAGTGGGATGTAGAACAAAATTCTAACACACAAAAAAAAAGACCAGATTTACTGGCCTGAAAGAGACTGGAGAAACCTCGAGAGTATGGCCCCCAGACACCCTTTTAGCTCAGTGGTGAAGTCACTTTTGAGGTTCACTGTTCAGCTGGGGATTGGACAGCCCCATAAAACAAAATGGGACTAATGAGGCACAGCAGTCCAGGGACAAGGACTAGAAGGCAGAAGGGGACAGGAAAGCTGGTTATGGGGAATCCAAGGTTGAGTAAGGACAGTGTTGGCAGGTAGTGGGGTTGTTAACCATTGTCATAGGGCAACATGTGTACTAACTGTTTAATGAGAAACTATTTTTTCTGTAAACCTTCACCTAAAGTACAATAAAAAAAAAAAAAAGATTAATGGAGTTATTCCCAGCATTGGCTGAGATGTTTCATGAAGACGGTTACCCTAAAACCTCCGCTGAAGTTGTTAGTACAAGTTTGAAGACCTCCCAACACAAGTGTGATTGGGTAGGTTGGCATTTACGCAAGCTTCCTGGATCTGGTGATGCTATGATTCAGCAAACAAAGGGCAGCCTTTTAACACTTACCAAAGCATTGATCCAACAGTTATGGCTTTCTCCCTCCCAAGTCTTTATTTCTGACACTGATTTTACTTAATTCCATGCTTACATGCTTGTAATATAAGAGAATAGTAAGAGCACTTTCATTTCTCAAAGGTGGAGCTCTACTTTCCTTAATGTTGTGTCTTGTCTCAGGGCAGTGAATGTTCTTTGATGGCTTAGCTCCCCAGAAGTTGACATGATTGGGCAGGGGTCACAGTGGCACAGTCTTCACAGAGACAATACTGCCTTTGAGGAACATCAGATCCCCTAGGAATCTATTTCTCCTATTTTATGTCTCTGCTAACCAAAAGGTCAGGAGTTTGAACCCACCAGCTGCTCCTTGGAGACCCTATGGAGCAGTTCTACTCTGTCCTGTGAGGTCAATATGAGTTGAAATAGACTCGACAGCAACGGGTTTGGTTTTTTTTTGTTTGTTTGTTTTCTTCCACTCTTAACATTGGAGAAAGGGCTGAATTGGAAGCCCTGGAAGCTGGAGTTCATAGCCTGGATTAGCAGATGGTTTCACAGCAGCTTCACAAAATGTTTTCAGTATGCCTTCTCTGACATTCCTATTCAGGTTGTGTATTTTATGTTCTCTCAGATTGTTTTACAGCTAAGTCAACTCCACACTAAGTAACTTTAGGATTATGTGTCTTTCAACTCACTAACCCACAAATGGAGTAGTAGTTTCCATGAACTCCATGCAGGCTTATCTCATGTATCAGTTCTTGCACTGTAGGGGTGAGGTAACCATTCTACACCTACATAAGTTAGACTTGAAAGGGTATCTTATACAGCAAAAAATGAAATTACTATTAAATCACTGGATATAGGGGAAGAGATAGTTTAGTACTAAAACCCCTGTCTGCCCCAGCAGATATTTCAGCAAAAAGTCCTTTATTTTCTTAATTAAAAATTATTTATTATTGAAGGAATTTTCAGTGGTCTAATATTTGGGAACTCATCTGTCATTTTATTGTACTGTGGTGGCTTGTGTGTCACTGTGCTGCTGAAAGCTATGCCACCGATATTTCAAATACCAGCAGGGTTATCCATGATGGACAGGTTTCAGTGGAGCTTCCAGACTAAGACAGACTAGGAAGAATGACCTGGCAGTCTATTTCTGAAAAAAATGGCCAGTGAAAACCTTATGGATAACAGTAGAACACTGATATAGTGCTAGAAGATGAGATCCTCAGGTTGGAAGGCACTCAAAAGATGACTGGGGAAGAGCTGCCTCCTCAAAGTAGAGTCGACCTTATTGACATAGATAAAGCTTTCAGGACTTTCATTGCTGATGTGGCACAACTCAAAATGAGAAGAAACAGCTGCAAACATCCATTAATAATCCAAATGTGGAATGTACGAAGTATGAGTCTAGGAAAATTGGAAGCCATCAAAAATGAAATGGAACACATTAAGATCAATATCCTAGGCGTTTGTGAGTTGAAAGAGACTGGTGTTGGTCATTCTGAATTAGACAATCATATGGTCTACTATGGTAGGAATGACAAATAGAAGAGGAATAGCATTGCATTCATTGTAAAAAAAAAAAAAAAATTCAGGATCTATCCTGAAGTACAATGCCGTCAGTGATAGGATAATATCCATACACCTACAAGGAGGACTAGTTAATATGACTATTATTCAAATTTATGCACCAATGCTAAAGATGAAAAAATTGAAGATTTTTACCAACTTCTGCAGTCTGAAATTGATCAAACATGCGATCAAGATGCATTGATAATCACAGGTGATTGGAATCTGAAAGTTGGAAACAAATAAGAAGAAATGGTAGTTGGAAAATATGGCCTTGGTTATAAAAACGATGCCAGAGATCACATGATAGAATTTTCTAAGAGTAACGACTTATTCATTGCAAATACCTTTTTTCAACAATGTAAACGGCAACTGTACACATGGACCTTGCCGGATGGAAGACATAGGAATCAAATCCACTACATCTGTGGAAACAGATGATGGAGATACTCAATATTATCAGTCCGAACAAGGCCAGGGGCCAACTGCAGGACAGACCATCAATTGCTCATATGCAAGTTCAAGCTGAAGCTAAGAAAATGAAAACAAGTCCATGAGGGCCAAAATATAACTGAGTATATCCCACCTGAATTTAGAGACTATCTCAAGAGTAGATTTGATGTACTGAACATTACTGACCCAAGAACAGAAATGAGTTGTGGCATGACATCAAGGACATCATGCATGAAGAAAGGAAAACGTAATTAAAAAGACTGAAAAGACAAGAATGGATGTCAGAAGAGACTCTGAAACTTGCTCTTGAATGTAGAGCAGCCAAAGTGAATGGAAGAAATAATGAAGTGAAAGAGCTGAACAGAAGACTTGAAAGGGTAGCTTGAGAAGACAAAGTATTATAATGAAATGTGCAAAGACCTTGAGTTGCAAAACCAAAGGGAAGAACACACTCAGCATTTCTCAAGTTGAAAGAACTGAAGAAAAAATTCAAGCCTCAAGTTGCAATATTAAAGGATTCTATGGACAAAATATTGAATGATTCAGGAAGCATCAAAAGAAGATGGAAGGGATACACAGAGTCACTGTATCAAAAAGAATTGGTCAATGTTCAACCATTTCAGGAAGTAGTATATGATCAAGAACTGATGGTACTGAAGGAAGAAGTCCAAGCTACACTGGAGGCATTGGTGAAAAACAAGGCTCCAGGAACTGATGAAATACCAATTGAGATGTTTCAACAAACGGATGCAGCACTGGAGTTGCTCACTCGTCTATGCCAAGAAATTTAGAAGAGATCCATATTCGTGCCCATTCCAATAAAGTAGATCCAACTGAATGTGGAAATTATCGAACAATATTGTTAATATCACATGCAAGTAAAATTTTGCTGAAGCTAATTCAAAAGTGCTTGCAGCAGTACATCAACAGGTAACTGCCAGAAATTCAGGCTGGATTCAGAAGAGGACATGGATCGAGGAATACCATTGGTGATGTCAGATGGATCTTGGCTAAAAGCAGAGAATACCAGAAAGATGTTTACCTGTGTTTTGTTGCCTATGCAAAGGCATTCAATTGTGTGGATCATGACAAATTATGGATAACATTTCGAAGAATGGGAATTCCAGAACATTTAATTGTGGTTATGCGGAACCTGTACATAGATCAAGAAGCAATTGTTCCAACAGAACATACTGCATGGTTTAAAGTCAGGAAAGATGTGCATCAGGGTTGTATCCTTTTACCATACTTATTCAGTCTGTATGCTGAGCAAATAATCCAAGAAACTGAACTATATGATTAAGAATCGGGCATCAGGATTTGAGGAAGACTCATTAACAATCTGCGATATGCAGATAACACAGCTTTGCTTGCTGACAATGAAGAGGACTTGAAGCACTTATTGATGAAGATCAAAGACTACAGCCTTCAGCATGCATTACACTTCAACATAAAGGAAACAAAAATCCTCACAACTAGACCAATAAGCAACACCATGATAAACGGAGAAAATATTGAAGTGTAAAGGATTTCATTTTACTTGGATCCACAATCAATGCCCATGGAAGCAGCGGTCAAGAAATCAAACAGCGCATTGCACTGGGCAAATCTTTCGCGAAAAAACCTCTTTAAAGTGTTAAAAAGCAACGCTGTCACTTTGAGAACTAAGGTGGCCTGACCCAAGCTATGGTGTTTTCAGACACCTCATACGCATATGAAAGCTGGACAATGAATAAGGAAAACCGAAGAAGAATCGATGCCTTTGAATTATGGTGTTGATGCAGAATATTGAATATACCATGGACTGCCAGAAAAATTAACAAACATGTCTTGGAAGAAGTACAGTCAGAAAGCTCCTTAGAAGCGAGGATGGTAAGACTTCATCTCAACTACTCTGGACAGGTTATCAGGAAGGACCAGTCCCTGTAGAAGGACCTCATGCTTGGTAGAGCGTCAGCAAGAGAGAAAGACCCTCAATGAGATGGATTGACACAGTGGCTACAATGACGAGCTCAAGCATAGCAACAACTGTGAGGATGGCACAGGACTGGGCAGTGTTTCATTCTGTTGTACATAGGGTCACTATGAGTTGGAACCTACTCAACAGCACCTAACAACAACGTAACAATATTTGGGAGTTCTCCAGCAATACTGGTATTCTCTGAAAGAATATTCTTCTCAGTTTTTCTATTGCAGCTCTACGGCACCTAGTACCTATTGCTGAATATTATGGAAATTAAATTTTAATCACTATTAATCTAGTTTGAGAAACCAACAAATGAATTTGGAACAATTAGAGAACAATGTTGATGATGTTCGCTGCTGTTGAGTCAGGCCTGACTCATGGGGACTTCATGTACAAGGGAACGAAACACTGGCTGTTCTTGTACCATCTCTATGATTATTTGGGGATCAGACCATTGTGATCCATATAATTTTCACTGACTGATTTTCAGAAATAGATAACCAGGACTTTCTTCCTAGTCTGTCTTAGGAAGTTCTGCTGAAACTGGTTCAGCATCATAGCAGCACCACTGATAGATGAGTGATGGATGTACTCAAGTCTCTGGCGTGGAAGGCAAGAATTCTATAACTGAACAATAGAACATGTTTAAGTTCTAAATTGGTGCAGAGATTATTTGCTACAGGGATTCAGATAATAGGAGACAGCCAAACCCCATGGTTGGGGGCAGGTTCATGGAAAGGAGCAGGAGCTACGCCTAATAGAATCAGCATTATACGTACAGAAAAGAGTAACTCCAAAATTGACTAGGTCAACGTACCACATGCATCTCCAGATCTTTGAAAGTCCAAATGTTTCCCATATACAGTGAGTTCCTAGTTAATAGGCAGTGAATATTCTATAGCCCAGTAGGTGAAAATTAGCTGTTTGGAATCAGAGATGAGAACCTGTCACTGCCTTTGGCTGGGTGCCTGCTGGTTTAAGTAAAATGTTGATAGAATGGAATTATACCTGAGGATAGTAGTAGTATCTAGAGGTTCCTTCTACTTAAATGGGGTTGCGAGGACCTATTAGCTGTCTGCTGTGAAAGTTGGCACAGGGTTACTGAGTTTGAATATTTTCCCAGAATTGATTGTTCCAGACACACAGGTGGTTACTTATCAGTAGAGTCTTCCATTCAGTAAATTCTTTTCCGGAGCACAAGTTTACAATGCCCACTGGAAAAACAGAATTCAGTTTTAAACTGGTGTCCTGGCCTCTGTTCTTAGCTTCAGGTTATAAACTTCTAGCCAGCCAGTACTAACCACCACATTAGTACAATTATGGTGCTTGAGAATCTAATCTCAAGAGGGAACCTCATCTCGTTCCACATTTCTTTGGCCCCCAATCCATAAGATTTTTATGCTTTTGTTTCCCTTTATGTCAACATATGCTTGTGGGAACACTTCTCTCTTCCTTTCCACCCCATATTTGTACAAGGGCTGCCACCCCAGTGTTAAAAATGAGTTATACTTGAAGTCATCTGCAAATGTTACGTTCAAGCCTTAACCTGCTTTGAAAGATGGTCTTCGCCAGCAGGGGAGAGACTATTTCTGGAGGAAACTTCCATGGTGAATACCCAGCCAAAGTAAGCTTTTTAGGATTGCTTCTGACCCTGGAAGTATATCTCAAGATAGGCTGACTGAATTGAGATTCTTTCAGGCCCTGGACTACTTGGCCATTGGTGTCCATGAACTTGCCGCGATTAGTGAAAGAAGAATTGAAAGGCTCTGTAACCCGTCCCTCAGCGAGCTGCCTGCCTTCCTGGTGGCTGAAGGTGGCCTGAATTCTGGGTTCATGATAGCCCACTGCACGGCCGCAGCCCTAGGTAAGGACACTGCCTTTTTCCCAGAACACAAGCCTGCCTACCAACGGGCTTTCCCATTTTACTTAAATGTGGCACATTTTGTCTTTGAACAAGATCTAATTTCAGGAACTTTTTCGCCACCTCCACTTCCATCCTCGCTCTCTCAATACAAATGCAGCAGGGTTTTTCTTAAATATAGTTTTAGAAAAAGAAAAGTTAAAATTTGACAATGTTATAGTGAAACAAAAGAAAAAAAAATAGTTGCCTAGAGTTGACTCAGACTCATGGCAACCCCACGTGTGTCAGAGTAGAACTGTGCTCCATAGCGTTATCAATGGCTGATTTTTCAAAAGTAGATCTCCAGACCTTTCCTCCAAGGAGCCTCTGGATGGACTCAAACTTCCCACCTTTCAGTTACAGCTGAGCATATTAACTGTTTGCACCACTCAAGGACTTCTATAGTGAAACATAATGATACAATAATGAGGTTGTAAATTTCTTTTCCATTTCTTTATGGAAAGCAGTTTGACATTACATATAAACTTCATCTTTGTATTTTTTTCCCTAATCTCAGTATGAAGACTATCAAAAGAGACAAAAATGTTTATAGTGACTGTTGAATCTTGAGCTAACCTGAATGACTAAACTTTGGATATATTCCGTTATATATGCTAAGTGAAGAATTTCTTTTATAAGGATCAGCACAAAGCTTGTTCTTTTGAGGTAGAGGTTAAAGATGTCCCAAATGTCCAACTTTTCTAAACTGCTGTACCACTCCATCATCTGTTACATCAGCTACTCCCTCTCCCCTCAGTACTCTCCCTCCGGTCTTTGGGTTTGGTAATTTGCTGCAACATCTCACAGAACTCACAAACTGTACTTACAGTTAGGTGGTTTATTAGGGAAGTAACAGGGTACAACTTGAGATCAGGGAATGACTCAGAAGTAACAGGAACAACTCAGGACACAGTTCTTGATCAGGACAGCTTCTTCTTGCCCTCTGTTGCTAGGCCCTGCTAGAAGCCTTCTTGGCTAAGTGTTACAACTCTTAGCTCTGTGGGCTGGCAAGCACCACTGCAACCATCTCATGCTAGTCTCCTGGTTCCTGCCGTCTTGTGCCGCTATCACTCTTGCTACTGCTATGCTGCTGTCTCTAGCTGTCTTCCATTTACAGCGCCTCCCTTTCTCTCTCTGTGTCTCCCTTTAAGCCTAGTGGGATGGTAAAATGGACCAAAATCCTCACTAGGATTTCATACACATTATTTGCATGGTACTATCCACACAAGTGTTCCATGCACCTTATTTGCATTAACAGCAAGCTGTCCAATCCACTTGGTGGACCACAAACACCTTATTTGCATGGTTCCACCTAATCATTGTGTGGGAGTCACAAAGACTATGGCTAGAAGGGCCATATTAAGTAATTCACTGCACCCACATATGCCAACCACTAAAAATCATAAAGGAGCCCTGGTTGCATAATGGTTAAGTTTTCGGCTGCTAACTGAAAGATGGGTGGTTCCAACCCACCAGCCTCTCCACGGGAGGAAGATGTGGCAGTCTGCTTCCCTAAATATTTACAGCCTTGGAAACCCTATGGGGCAGTTCTACTCTGTCCTATAGGGTTGCTATGAGTTGGAATCAACTCGACAGCAGTGAGCTTAAATCCCTAAATAGGATCGCCAGATTTGACATATAAGAATAGAGGTAGATTTGAAGTATTTAAATTTATATTTAATTCAATTTGAATGAAAATGTGAATTATTTGGGACATATACTAAAACATTATTTGTTGTTTATCTGAAATCCAAATTTAACTGGATGTCCTGGATTTTATTTGGCAACTCTGTCTCTACCAGGATAACATGGTGGTTAAAGCATGGACTCTGGATCTGAATCCTGAGCAAGTGTTCTTAATCTTGCTGATCCTCAGTTTATTCTTCTGTAAAATGGGGACCATAAACTTACCTAATGGGGCTGCTACGAGGATCAAATAAGTTATATGTGAAGCCTTGGAATTGTGCCTGGCACACGGTAAGCACTAAATAAACATTAGTGCTATTAATAATATTACTCATAACTCACTCCTTACCTAAACCTCTCACTAAAACTCAACAAAGATAACCAAGGAAGAGCCACTGAATTCATCTCTTCCTCTGACCCTGTACAGTGAAAACTGTAAGAGCCGGAACTGGACGGGACTGCCTTGTTTTTCCAGGTCTTGAAAGTTTCCCACCTTTGACAGAGTGGTCACCACTTTTATCTCTCTCCTTTTAGTGGAAAATATTTGAGTTTTCTTACTCTGACAGGTTTCCACCTTACACAGGTTCTGGGTTTTGCAGGTTTTATGTATCTTCTATTCTCTCACTTACCCGCTTATTAAAATATTCCTTTAAAGGGTAGAGACTTCTCACCTTAACATGGTAGTGGGGGAAAATGTCATTGATTTCTAGAGAACATTATGGACATCAGGAAGCCTCACTTGAATGTGGCTATAGCTTCCCAAGTTGCCTGTTGAGGTTGTTCAGCTTGCTTTCATTATAATGAAATTACAGTTTTCTCTCTCTCTTTTTGTTTGGCCACTTGTCTTTGTCTTTCTGAACATGCCTCACCACACACCCTGCTTACCATAGAGCCCTCAGTTTAGGGTCCCAGAAAGGGGAACTTTCAGTTGCTGGAACCTGGAAAATCCTGGGCAAACCAGAACACGTTGATCGCCTTTAGGTCATCTCAGAATACAAACCCTAGTAGCCTAGAAACCAACTGAAACTTCACTCAGAGCCACCCTTAAAGTTAAGGCAAGAGGAGAAAAGACTCTTGGGATTTGACCTTCCCTGGCTTCTGAAGCTGAGAGAAGGAACTCCGTAATCTGGGTCCTTGCTACTTAAAGTGTGGTCCTTGGACCAACAATATGCGCATCACCAGAGAGTTGAAAGACTGAGTCTCAGGCTCCACCTGAAAATTATTATCTGCATTTCAACAAGACATTCATGTGACAATAAAGTTCAGGAGGCACCAGTCTGGGCTGTGCCAAGGATTCCCTCCTCCCTGAGATATTTCTTGCAGCCATCAAGCCCTTGCTTAAGCACGGAGTATACGCTTATGTCATCATTGCATGCTCTGAGATGTTAAATCCTCTTGCCCATCATTGCATGCTCTGAACTGTTAAATCCTCTTGCCCAAGATCTGTGGGTCCAGCCTCAATCTCCACATGCCATGCCTGAATTCTAATTCCACCTCTTCTGGTGAAGCAACCAGTCAGATTGTTCCCAAACACCTGGAAATGGCTGTTATGTCTTTTTTCTTTTTCTTTTTTCCCTAGTCTCCCTGACATGCTAAACACTTCCAGTATTTTCAACTTGACCTTGTAATATTCGGGTTTCCAGCTTCCCACCCTGGAGTTATCTCGGAACTCATGATAGCTTTAGAGTCTTTGTTACTTTAGGAAAAAAATCCATCAGTTCTATTTTCCCAAAGTAGCTTTGTATTCCCTGATGCTTGGATAATGACCAAGAGCTGCTGGAGAGGGTATTCCATGCTATGGAGCACTTTGGGGAGACTACTTGTAATTTTGGCAGTTTATCCCATTACAAGCAGACTGTAACTTGTGCTTACGTCTTGCAGTTTCTGAGAACAAGGCTCTGTGCCACCCCGCGTCTGTGGACTCCTTGTCCACCAGTGCTGCCACAGAGGACCACGTTTCCATGGGAGGATGGGCAGCAAGAAAGGCCCTCAGGGTCATCGAGCACGTGGAGCAAGGTAATGTCAGCCATCCCAGGTGGCAGGCCTTGCTTATAAACTAGTAGGCCAGTGGTTCTCAAAGTGGGATTCCCCACCGGCAGCATCAGCATCACCTGGAGACTTGTTAGAAATACAGATTCTTAGGCCCCATCCCAGACCTTCTGAATCAGAAACCCTAGGGAGGAGAGGGGAGCAACCTGGGTTTTAGCAAGCCCTCCGGGTGATTCTGGAGCTCAGTGAAGGTTATGAACCACCGAGCTATGCAGAGTTAAGCCAGTTTATCAGACTGGCTGTTGCTGCTGCTGCTTTTTTTTTAATGAAAATTTCAAAACATATTTAAAAGTGAAGATACAATGTTTTAATTTATCTTTAATTATCTTTATTGAGATATAGTTCACATACCATACAATTCACCCATTCCAACTGTATAGTTTGGTGGTTTTTAGTATATCACAGAGTTATGCAACCATCACCACAATCAATCTTACCCTTTAGCTGTCACCTCCTCACCACCTCCCCCAGCCCCCTCCCAGCCCTGGGCAACCACTAATCTGCTTTCTTTCTCTATAATTTGCCAATTCTGGGTATTTCATATAAATGGAATCATACACTATGTGGTCATTTGTGACTGGTTTCTTTCACTTAGCGTAATGTTTTCAAGGTTCATCCACGTCATAGCATGTATCAGGACTTCATTTCTTTTATGGTTGAATAATATTTGACTGTATGGCTAGACTACATTTTGTTTACCCATTCATCAGTTTGATAGTCATTTGGGTTGGTTCCACTTTTTGGCTATCATGAGTAGTGATGCTATGACCCATCCATGTACAAATTTTTGTGTGGATGTATGTTTTCATTTCTCTTGGAAGTAGAGTTGCTGGGTTAAATGATAACTCTATATTTACCTTTTTAAGGAACTGCCTGGCTGTTTTCCAAAGCAACTGCACCACTTTACATTCCTACCAGCAGTGTATGAGAGTTCTGATTTCTCCCCACCCTCACCAACACTTGTTATTATCTACCACAGTGTATTCTTGATTTTCACTCTTAAAATGGTTTCCCCATTGAAAACCTTGCTCTGGTCAAACACTTAAGGAATCACCCTTCTCTAGCCTCATATCTTATATCCAGTCCATCAGCAAGTCAGCTGTACCTTTAAAAGGCAGGGAGTTGAAACTCTGTCATCTCCTTCTGATTGGTCTCCTTGTTTTCACTACTGTTCCTCTGCAGCCACCCCACACAACAGCCAAGGCTAGCTTTTTAACACAGCATTTAGACCACACTATGCCTCTGCTGAAACTTTGCCAGCTATTTCCTATCACTTGAAACGAAATCCAACCCCCTTACTGTAACCTACAAAGCCCTATGTGATCGGGCTTCTGCCTCTGCTGCCACCTCTCCCCATCCTGTTCTCTGCCCTGGAGCCAGCACTGGATCCTTGCTGGTCCCTGTGCCAGCAAGGGGAAGAAAATAGTCATGTCAACTAGAACGTGCTCTCAGGATTAAGATTCTTAGAATAGTTTTTTTCTTTTCTTTTCTTTTTTTGAGGTGAAAAGTGGTTATTAGGCTATCATATATCAGCTTATCTCAAAAAAATAAAAAGCATGTAGAAAAAAACCAGCTAAATCAAGATGCATTGAACTCCTTGGATTTGTAATGACCAAGTGCGTAGTTTTTTAAGTCCCAGAACTGCTGGTTGTGTATAGCAACAAAGAGCATTTAACAAAATGTTGCAGAGGTGGCAGTTTAAGGTTTTCCTCATGTGTTTCATGTTTGACCTTGCAAATATTTACTTCTCAGTTTTTTCTGTCTTTGACATATTTGAGGTAATATCATATCACTAACACTCATTGAATATTTACAATGTGTATTCAACTCTTTAACTCATTTAATCTGCACAATAACCCTAGAAGATATGAACTATCAGGAAACCAAGGCAGAGATTAAATAATGCGCTCAAGGTCATACAGTTTGTAAATGGCAGAGTGAGGATTCAATCCCAAGCAGTTGATTCAAGTTCGCTGCCTTAACTGCTCCTCTACACTGCTGTATTGTTTACAAAAAATGATCCAGATCCTATGGATTCTCAGCACTCCATTTGCAGGATTGTTCTATAATGTATTCTTGCAAAATTTATCCCAAACTGAAGTCTCTGTGACTTGAGAGTATGCTATTTTAGTCATATCTTTGTAATACCCGTGAAGGGATTATGTAATAAGGTAGTTAATTTAGCAATAAGCTAGGGTTTATTCCAGTCATTTTGGTAGCTTTAGACCAAAAATATCTCTTCTCCTCACCAACTCACCTCTCAACTTCCTTGATCAAGATGGATGAGATCTGTTTCCTATTTCGTCCGTTGTGTAAATTTCAATTTGTTTTTAGTCTTGCTGTTCCCTTCAGCCTGAAATACCTGGCACGTGGACCTTCATCAAAGATTTAAAGGAGGCAATGTATGAGCCATGAATCTTTGGTTGCCTTGGGGTAAAGTCTGTAATGTTCATTTTAAGCCTTCAAACTCAAAGCCTCCCAAGCCCACTAAAACAAAAATTCTAGAAATTAGTATCTTGCCAACTCTAAGTTTCTTAGTAAAACAATCTTTGTACAGTCTTTCTTAGCTAAGGACTCATTAAATGTACCATACCTTGAGATAAACTTGGAACACTGAGAAATCTAAATGTCTCTACATTGAATACAGTCAGATTACAAAGAATTTTTTATAGAAATATAGTTCAAAATTAAACCACTTTGGATCCCATTACTTGCGAAGAAAATAGTTTAGAAGCTTAAAGTTGACCAAACCATTTAAGTGGTTAACTCAAATATGTATTAAAAACATTTGACTTCTTATCTTTAAATTTATGAAGCACATTACAAACTCTGGTGAGTACAGACAAGTCACTATGGAAAGATGAAGTTACAGAATCCATTCTGAACTTGGAAGGAACTTCACATCTTCTACTCTAGCCCCTTACTTCACAGATAAGGAAATAGAAACTGAGGAAGAAGTAAAATATCTTGACTAAAGGCACACACTTACTTAACAGAGTTGGGGTTCAACCTCAAGATTGGGTAGTCTTTCTCTTTTTTCTCCCCTAACAACATGAAACAAACCTGGCCTTTTAGTTTTAGGATGTGAATGGGGGAAATGGCGGATTTCACTAGTATAGATTAATGGACAGCTTCTTAGGCGGTGTTGAGGTTCTGCTAATCTATCCAGGTAAATATTTCATTTCTCCCCTTTTCATCATTTGTGTTAGTTTCCTAGGGCTGCCCTAACAAATTACCACAAAGTGGATGGTTTAAAACAACAGAAATTTATTCTCTCACGGTCCTGGAGACTAGAAGTCATCAGTGCCATGCTATCTCTGAAGGCTCTATTGGAGAATCCTTCCTTATGTCTTCCTAGTGTCTCGTGTCTCCTAGCAATCCTTGGCGTTCCTTGGCTTGTAGCTGCCTCATTCCAATCTTTGCCTCTGTCTTCACATGGCCTTCTTCTCTGTCTGTCTCTCGGTGTCCTCTTTTCAGCAGTCATTGGATTTAGGACCGCTCCTAAATCCAGAATGATTTAATCTAGAGATCGAGAATTACATCTACAAAGACCTTATTTCCAAATAAGGTCACATGACAGTCTTAGATTCTGGGTAGACAGGAATTTTGGGGGGACACAGTTCAACCCACTACACCATTAAAGATGCATCTAAGAGATTACAAAAACCATTTTAACAAAAAAATACCAAGGCAGCTTCATTCTGCCAATAGAGACCCAACCACCTGTTAGTTGACTGGCAATGGCCATTAACTTCAGTGTCCTTTATTTTCCTCAAGCATGAGGTCAGCCTTTAATCAGCTGTCTCCTCCACATTTCTGTTTTAGTGCTGGCCATCGAGCTCCTTGTAGCCTGTCAGGGCATCGAATTTCTACGCCCCCTGAGAACAACCACTCCGCTGGAGAAGGTCTATGACCTGGTGCGCTCTGTTGTAAGGTAAAGTCAAACACATCCCTGAAACTATACCATTTCAAAACTGGGAACCCGGGAGTGGTTAATGTTTGGCTGGTGTGCTTCCTTTCCAGGCCCTGGATAAAAGACCGCTTCATGGCCCCAGACATCGAGGCAGTACACCGGCTGCTGGTAGACCAGAAGGCAAGCTGGCTACTTGGCTGATTTCATTGCTTTTGGTCATGATAGAAATGAAAAGTGGGAGGGGAGGTGGAGAACCATTATCTTATTCTTTTTTTTTCTTGCTATTCCTTGGAAATGAACAAAAAGATACTTATGCAACTTGCAAGGCCACTGAGAAGCCATTTGGTAAATTCTTAAGTGCCCCAGGTTGCACCCAAACATTGAATATCCAAGGATTAGAAGTGGACATGGATTTTTAATGGAGTTTTGGGGCAAGCATATGTGGGGAGAAAATGAATGAAAGGTTTATCTATCCCCGTCTCCAAGAATGTCCTCTTTCATTCAAAAGTACTTTCTCTTTCTAGTGCTGCTATCATAACTACCACCACTGGGTGTAATCGGTTCATAGGCCTGGAGGGACAATACACTCCCAGGTTTTTACTTTAAGGGGTTATGAGTCTGTTTAGTGGTCTGATGTGTCCCTGCCTCTATCACATTGGGTAAGACACAGATTCTCTTAACCACTTATTTCTTCTGGCTACATTGACCAAAGACTGGGCTGATAGATATAGATGCCTAGCAGGCTGCTTTGTTGCTGGGTGGTGCAAATGGTTAAGTGCTGGGCTATGGAACTGACAGGTTGGCAGTGCGAATCCACCCAGAGGTGCCTGGAAAGAAAGGCCTGGCAATCTACTCCTAAAAAATCAGCTATTAAAAACTCTATGGAGTGCAGTTTTACTCTGAAATACATGGGGTCACTATGAGTCAGAATCAACTTGATGGCAATTAACAATAACATATATATATATGTTGTGTGTGTATATATATATATATATAGATAGATAGATAGATGTATATATATATCGGAGCCCTGCTGGTGCAGTGATTAAGAGCTACAGCTTCTGACCAAAAGATTGGCAGTTTGAATCCATATGTTTTGGTATATATATATGTATATATACACACTATATATGTATATTTTGGTATATATATGTGTGTTGATATACATATATGTTTTGGTATATATATCCATATCTATATAAAACCCGTTGCCACTGAGTCAATTCTGACTCATAGTGACCTATATATATATATTTTTTTAAGTTCTCTAAGCCTTTTGTAGTAATTTTTGGGTATCACTGTTCCCTAGAATCATTTGATTTCCCCTGGAATAGTTGCTCTGCTCTTGGGGAACGATTTTCCCTTTGATCTTCACACCTGTCATCTGTAAGCCTGCCCTGCACACTTTGAGGGGAAGCCCCTTGCCTGCTGCCAGCTTTGGAGCTAGGAGAGAGATTTGTGAGAGGTTGGCTTTGAAAGAACACATTTTTCTAAGGTAATACAAAGGAGTAGAAAGGTTCCTTAGCTGTCAGCAGGCATCAGAGAAAAAAGTAGCTGTAAGCCAAAACCAGGGCCTTAATTTTGAGAGGATTTTGTGCTTAAAAGAGAATGGGTTGGTGGGTAGAGGTAAAAACTAAAACAAGGATCTGAGGCAGTATGTCTCAAACTGTCATGTGTGTGTATGACTCTCTGGGGAATCGGGTCATATGCAGGTCCAGATTCAAGAGTCTGGGTTGTTGTTATCAGGGGCCAAAAAGTCAATTCTGACACATGGCAATTCCGTGTGTGCAGAGTAGAACTGTGCTCCGTAGGGTTTTCAAGGCTGTGACCTTTCAGGAGAAGATCTCCAGGCCTGTCTTCGGTGGCCCCTCTGGGTGGGTTCAAACTGCCAAACTTTCAGCTAATTATCGAGTGCTTAACCTTTTGCACCATCCAGGAATTCCAGGTCAGGGCTAGTGACTGAGATCCTGACTTGTCCCATGTGATCCTGATGCTATTGGTCCACCAGCCATACTTTGATAGCAGAGGTCTAAGGACAGAGAATACAGGGTGTTTCCATGCAATGAGAAAACCCGATCAACTGCCTTTTATCATTCAAGGATTAGCCTCCAGATTATACCCTTGAGCAACTTTCCTTAACTCTGTTTACCCAAGTCTTCTAGGTTTGTTTCTTGGTTTTATTCTTTGCTTTCTTGTTTTTGGTGCTTTGGAAGAGTAAACAGCTGAAAACCATCAAACTAACTTTAGAAAAAATTTGGACTTTGTATTTTAAAAGCTATTAAGGCAACCAAAGACTAGTTGGTACAGATCATGTGTCAAATGACTTAAAAGCAAGCCAACAGCTGTTACATGTCTAGTGAGGTAGAGACAATGTTTTGACTTCGGGTGAAACTGATGTTCAATGCCATGTGCAAACAGTATCGCCAACATTTCAACTTTGTTCTGCCCTTGCTTCTCAGATTTGGGACGTAGCTGCACCATACATTGAAAAATACAGAATAGAGCATATTCCAGAATCAAGACCTGTTTCTCCTACGGCTTTTAAGCTAGAATTTCTACAGAAGAAATCCACCAAGCTCCCAGAATCTGATGACCTTTAATGGGCTTTGTCATGAACGAGCGGATCAGATGGCACCTAGGGCAGCATTATTCTGGGGGAGAGAACTTTCCCAGGTAGAGCAATTTGTTCTATAATTCAGTTCTCTTAAAACCTGCTTTGGTAATATTATCATGGTTGCTAAATCCAGCACTGTGCTCTTGTTGGCATGGTTGAAGTCTTACTGGGTATTTTCAGATTTTAGGAGTTTCTTTCTTTCTTAACAGTATCAATGGGTCACTCACTATTAAAGGTGAGAAGAGTAACCACAGGTCACCTAGGTCTCTTTTCTGCTCTTAGCATTAGATGAATTTAAACCTGGACAGCATTCTTTTCCAAAAACACTGGACTTTTGTGAACCATATTTTTATTTTTCTTTATTTTGACAAATTCTTCACTAGTTAACTTTCTTTCACTGATTGTACTATGTCACCATATGACAAATGCCCCTTAATGCTTTCACAAATAACCATTTCTAAGTCATAATTTCCCCTTAAGCTGTTCTGTCTTCTATTCATTAAATTATAGTACAAAATAGTCAAGAGGTCTTAAGCAATTACTCCACAGGGCAGTCAAAACCAACAAGAGGTTTTATGTGGAAAGGAGTTAGGAATGAATATAAAGATTGTTATTCGAGTGAACATTGAACGGTGTATCTCATATTTTTTAAATATCACCGCACATATCAGAAAAAGGACTAACGTGCTTAAACTGAGTGTAAAGTTAGTATCATCACTTTCTTACCGTGTGTTAGTACCCTATTCTCATTCTTATAACAACCCGGTGCAAGAAGCCTGTCATTTCACAGATAAGAAATCTGATGCTCGGAAGTTAACCAACTCCTTACCTGTATTGGTAATCATTAAAATGAAGCCCTGTTGACAAAGGTCAGGTGGGGCCCCAGGATGTGTTACCCAATTTGTTTTCTTTTCCCCCAAGAAGGAGATAAGGACCTCTGGGAAGGCTTAAGCATAACTCTCTGGGTGAAGGATGGGTCAGATGGCCTCCTGGCTTCTCAAGGCTAAGACCATGCAACCATGCACAAGGCACTCCATCCCAGGAGGTTGAACTTATAGCCCTGTGAGCTGCAGCCAGTCAAAGAAAAGACAGACACAACCTGCCAACTTGCATACCTGATTACGACCTAAAATGGGTCCAACAACATATTTCACAATAGAGTTTTCACTCATTAGACTACAACACATCCAAAGGAAAGGTGGAGACCGAAGTGAAAACTGCTGCCTATAGCAATTCAGCCAGCAACAAATGTGCTGAGGAGCTTGTTTGCCTAAAGGTTGTTCTTGGTGCCATTCGTTGTTAAAATGTAAACACACACGAATGAACTTTTCTCATTGTTATCCGTGAGCTGAAACTGATCCAGTAAACCTGCGAAGTCCAATGGCGCGTCTTCACTCCTGCTTGGGGAGTGCTGGGCCCCATCAGCCCCTTCCGTTCTTTGGGGCACAATGACACACTCTCACTGAATTTTCTATACGGCTCGGTTAGTAACTGGCATTGTCTTCAAGAGAGCTGCAAGGTAAATATGGGATAAACTAACTCTCGATTCTGTTATGTTTCCAAGGAGTGGCTGGTGGATTCGAACTGCCGAACTTTTGGTTAGCAGCTGAACGCTTAACCACTGCGCTACCAGGGCTCCAACTCCTCTTTAGGGAGAGGCTATTCTAACTTCAGTTAATTAAGTTTCTGAAAGATTTCTGTCAACAAATGCTAAAACTTGAGAAAAAGGCTTTAGAAAACGAGGTTAACTCAGTACACTTTTTCTTTTTCCCGTTGAGCAGCAGCAGCAAAACAGCTGGACACAATTCATTTCAGCTCAGGGGTGGGCCTGATTGTTGTTGGGTGTCATTGAGTCAATTTTGACTCATAGGGACCCCATGTGACAGAGTAGAAGTGCTCCATAGGATCTTCTAGGTTGAAATCTACCGGAGCAGAATGCCAGGTCTTTCTGCTGTGGAGCAGCCTTTTGGTTAGCAGTCACATGCTTAATTGTTGTGCCACCGGGGCTCCTTTCTAAGGGAATCCTGTTCTCTTGATTCGTTCAAGAAAAGGCTATGGTTGCAGTTTGGGCCAATGAGATGCAAGGAGAGATTTGTTGGAGGCTTCTGAAAACGTGCTTTCTTTCCTGAGAGCAAGGGAAGCCAGCCTCTCTTTCCCTGCTGCTTGACCTGAATGAGGAGGCAGACAGCGCCTATGGCTGTTACAGCCAGCCAGGCCCCGGGGTGAATCCAGCCTTAGGATGACACCAACACTGGATGGCAGAGCAGAGGGAGGGAAGGAATCTGAGTCTTCAACATTACCGTGCTGCTGGATAAACCAGTCTTGAAGCCTGCCCTACCTCTGAATGTCCAATGATGAGCTAATAAACTTCCCTATGTTTCAAGCCAATTTTAGTCAGGTTTTGATCCTTGCAACCACTAGCATCCTACCTAACACAGTCACTGGTTTAGTTACCTACTGCTGCCATAACAAAAAATACCACAAGAACAGAAATTTATTGTCTCACAGTCTGGGAGACTAAAAGTCCAAATCGGTGCATTGGCTCTAGAGGAGGGTCTTCCTTCGTCTCTTTGAGCTTCTAGTAGCTGCTGGAAATCCTTGGGGTTCCTGGCCTGGTAGCTGCATCCTCACTTGGTGTCTGTCTTCCCCGTGTGCGTATGTCTCTGTGTCTATTCCGCTGTTTATAAAACACCACAGAGAAGTGATTGTGCCACCCTACTCTAGTATCCACTCAATGGTCATGGGTTTTAAGGAGTTCTGGTGGTGCAGTGGTTAAGCACTTGGCTGCTAACCAAAAGGTCGATGGTTCAAACCTACCAGCTGCTCCACTGGGGGAAGATGTGGCAGTCTGTTTCTGTAAAGATTTACAGCCTTGGAAACCTCTATGCGGGCAGTTCTACTCTGTCCTATAGAGACACCAATGGATTGTTTGTTTGTTTTTTAATGCTGGTATGGCCTCATTAACAAAACAAAAGAAAATCCCTATTTCCAAACAGGATCATATTTACAGGAATAGGAGTTAGGACTTCCACATTTCTTTTTGGAGGCCACAATTCAATCCATAACAGCCACTATGTATGAGGTGCTGTCCCAGGACTGTGGTGTACCAATAAAACGCATAGTTCTGTATTCAAGGAATCACCATCTAGTTGGAGACATAAAATAGTAATTACTGTACCAAACATGTGTTCTAGAGAAAGGCAGAACAACTGTAGCACCTTTGGATCATCAGGGAGGCCTCCTGGAAGAGGTGACTGAGTTGGACTTTGAATGACGGGAGTCAGAGAGAAAAGGGAGAAAAAGGAGAAATGTAAGCTACATTGCAAGGTCAGAAGACATTTATGCCAGGAAACCATTTCCATGTTGGCCACTTTCATTGAACAAAGGACGTCGAAGATAGCCCTGTCCTTGCCCTCACAGTTGATAGCCTAGGCATTGGGCCAAGAATTAAACAAACAATAGCAACGTGTAGAAGTGCTTTGGGAAGGCTGTGAAGTAAGTAGGGGCCAGGTCACGGAGAGTGTGATAACCCATATTAGTGGTACAGTTGTTGTTAGTTGCCATCAAGTCAGCTCATGGCGACCTTATGTTTAACAGAACAAAACATTGCCCGATCCTGTGCCATCCTCACCACTGTTGGTATGTTTGAGCCCATTGTTGCAGTGGTATAATAGGAAAAGCAGAACTCTCCCAGCACAACCTCTGAGAGGTTGAAGGAGCTGCATGAGCAGAACAGACTGCTGTGGCAGTGCGTCTCAATGGCAGCTCGTGCCATCTGGGTACCTAGTGTCCAATGCCGGCAGTAGTGTCACTAGAACCACTTGCAAAACATCTGGCGTCATCTGTTGGAATAACTTCCCTCTCTTGAGAGGCTGGCATTGAATTTATCCCTTCGCTGGTTACTGTTATAAAGATCAAGATGCTCATGCTTTGGGGAAAATCTGGCAAAACTAATTTCAATAAGAAAATTACTATGTTTCACTAAGAGTGTATCCTTTTAAGAGAACTGACACTTAACGCTATCTGGTATTAATTCTACTTTTGAAGGCCAGTCTTACTGGCCATAGTGTATTGTAAATTCCCTGAAAGCAGGACCCAGCTTACAACCAGACTTTCAGAAATGGAGAGAATCTAACCTCTACATTTTACAGATGGTCTCTACATTTTAGAGACTTCAAGATGAAATCAAATCCCAGTTGTCAAGTCCCAAATTTGTGTTCCCTTCAGTGTACCATGTTGCCTTGCCTGTCTCCTACAGGAACTAATGTATACATTCTCAACTCAACAAAGGCAGGAAAAATTGGTTCTGGTAAGCAAAAAAAATCTTAGCTATTACAATGGTTTGTGACCTTGCAGAGCTCAACCCTACCTAACAAAATCCTATTCCTTAGTATTTACTTAGTATAGGCAGAAAGTATATTTCATTTACATTTTAATTAATTAAATTAAGTTAAATTTATATTTTCTTCTGGGGTGGGAAATATTTTTTAAAGGTTGAAAAACATTGATCTAACACAATGTGGAGCACAGAATAGGGATTTTCCCATCTCACTGTGTGATTTTGAGAACTTTCCACCTGGTCTTTTAAGTATCTGATACTTCCTACTCCGTTCCACATCTTGTGGGAAGAAAATCTATTCTCTCCACCAAAGGACTTGTTCGATGTTGAAGGTATCTTGCCAGAGTTCACTCGCACAACAAATATATGAGTGCCTACAATCTACAATGGGGACCTTAGTGGCTCTGTGCAAGAGACCCAGGTTCAATTCCCAGCCAATGCACCTCATGCACAGCCACCCCATCTATCAGTGGAGGCTTGCATGTTGCTATGAATGCTGAACAGGTTTTAGCAGAGCTTCCAGACCTTAAGATGGACTAGGAAGAAAGGCCTGGCGATCTACTTCTGAAAATCAACCAGTGAAAACCCTATGGATCACAATAGTCCAATCCCCAACTGATCACGGGAATGGCACAGGACTGGGCAGCATTTTGTTCCATTG